TCGCGAGCCACATGCAGCTCTTTGGCCCCTTGAGTGTGTCTCTTCCGCAAAATACCACATGCAGGCGCGCATGTACAGTGCGATTGAAACTTCGTGGCCCATGCGCAGAAGTCGGTATTTTGTGGAAGAGCCACACTCAAGGGGCCAAAGAGCCACATGTGGCTCACGAGCCACAGTTTGCCGACCACTGCAACCAACTAAGCAAGCCAGCTAAGGCTTGGACCTTCATTTTATTTGAGGCTTCTTCCCACTCTGAGAACTCCAGCCACAGAGACAGTGGAAACATTAGAGCTTGGAAGGAGGCCCAGCTCCCGAGCCCTTTGAGGCCAAACAAGAACAGGAAGGTACCCAGGCAAGTGGGCTCTAGGGGGAGAGCCCCCCCCCCCCAAACATGGACCCATCCACTTCCCAGGAAGGAGAATCACACTGTGATCAGGGCCTAATTGTCTCACTTGGAAAAGTGGGAAGGAATTTTTCAAGTGTGTCATTTTTTAGGAGACTCTGGGGACCCTTGTGCGGGCAGCTGTCCTCAGGAAAGCCACTGAAAACAGACTCAAAAGTTCGGAGATCTAGCCTGGCCAGGTGTGGCTCAGTGGTTGAGCATCGACCTATGAACCAGGAGTTCATGGTTCGATTCCTGGTCAGGGCATATGACCGGGTTGTGGGCTCGATCCCCAGTGGGGGGGCACATGCAGGAGGCGGCCCATCAATGATTCTGTCTCATCCCTGATGTTTCTCTCTCTCTATCTCCCTTCCTCTCTGAAATCAATAAAAGTATTTTTTTTTTGAAGTTCAGAGATCTCAACCCGGCTCACTTGGCATGGCTACTACACCTGTACTTCATTTTCTAAAAGTTGTATAGCTGAACCAAATATTAAAAAGAACAGGGCCGCCCTCGCCGGTTTGGCTCAGTGGATAGAGTGTTGTCCCACTGACTGAAGGGAAGGGTTCCAGGTTCAATTGATCCCCGGCCTTGGAGGCAACCAATCGATGTCTCTCTCTTACATCGATGTTATCTCTCTCTGTCTCTCCCCTTCCCTTCCACTCTCTCTAAAAATCAATGGAAAAATATCCTTGGGTGAGGATCAACCAAAAAAAAATTTGTTAAGTAAATAAATGACTGACAATGAACACTTGGAAAATAGTTCAAATTTATATACTACAATAATAACCAACATTCAATGTAAACAAAGATATTTTATTACGTGTTTCTGTTATTGTTCTGAATAATAAGTTAATTAACTGCCTCGTTAAAATACTTTCTAAAAGTGCCTTGCTACCAGCTAAGGTTTCTTCAATGATCCTTGAACTTGCCTGGCTCAACTTGCTAGAGGAAACAGATCTTTGGACAGGAGATTTGGGTTTGCTCCAGGTTCTGCTGTTTATGAGCAACTCACTTTAACTCTGAGCTTGCTTCCTCTGCTGGGTAGCAGGGCTGATAACACCCACCCTAACTACCTTGCAAGAACACTGTGAAAATCATGAGACGGCAGATGTGAAAGCACGATCTGAACTGCGAAGCGCAGCCCACACTTCAAGTCTGGTTATAATGACCCTTTTCCTCTGCTCTGGCTCACATCACCCCTCCCACCTGCAATCTTGTCCAAATCCCCTCCATCCAAGTCTTTCCATAGTTCAAGGTCTAGCCTCTCAGTAACGCTCCACCAGAACCTGAACTGGATCCTTCCCTTCCAACTCTGCTTTTGCCCATCGCCTTAATGGTTCACAACTGTCATTTAATTATCAGTCGCACAGGAAGGTAGCACAGTGGGGTGTTTATAGCTCAGGCGGACCTGCAGGGGATCCCAGCGATAGCATTTGCTATTTGAAACCTCTAGTGCCTACCTAGCATCTCTAAGTCTCATCTACAAAACCGGGAAGATAATGACTCTTACAGATTTGCTCTCAGAGGAAATGACATCATTCTCATAAAGTACTCAACTCAAGGCTGTGCATACAGTAAGTGCTCAAACAACTGTAGGTGTTATGACTACTGAATCTTGTTCCTTCACTGTGTCCTATCTCCCCAACTGGATTTTTATCCTTGAGAGCAGGGACCCCGTCCTATCCATTTATTTTGTTACCCCCAAACCCACTTCCATTTCAGAAAAGTGTTCAGTTCATAGTTTTTCCCTACAAACACCTGTTGAATTGATTAAAGTGAATTACAATAGTCCACCACAGCCAACTTGACAAAGTCAATGAGCTCAGGGTAAAGTAACTGACCTATGCTAGCCCTATTATCACACGAAAATGTGTGATTCCCAAAGCACACAGCCCAGCTATTCCCACTACTGAGTTGTCCTCCCATGTCGGATACCCTACGTCAGGGGTCCTCAAACTTTTTAAACAGGGGGCCAGTACACTGTTCCTCAGACCATTGGAGGGCCGGACTATAGTTTAAAAAAAAACTATGAACAAATTCCTATGCACACTGCACATATCTTATTTTGAAGTAAAAAAACAAAACGGGAACAAATACAATATTTGTACTTGCATGTGGCCCACGGGCCGTAGTTTGAGGACCCCTGCCCTACATAGTCAACAGCTTAAAAATATTGCAGAGAAATAGATTTCCTGTGGGGACCTCGGCAAAATTCTGGAGCAATCTCTTTCCCCAAGACATGACCTTTAATCTTTTAAGTGCAGATAGCATCATGGATGACACACGTGTGAACACAGAAAATGCTGAACAGAAACCTGAGGGCCATGTTTTAGGGCTGCATTATGGGTGAAACAGTTCTTCTGGTGTTTTGCTAACAAACTTCCTTGGATGTCATAAACCTCCCACCAATCTCTATACTGTAGTACTATTATGGATAGATGCTGGTGACTTACAAAACAAACATGATTTAACTCTATGTTTTCAGAAGAGTAATTACAAACTAAAACAAATGTCCATTTTATAACAAGGTCAACGACAAAATTCTTAATTTTATATGCTATCCATAACTATTCCCAATTGCCCTAGAAATTATGCTTGTGTAATCACTTGCTTTTCCACTTAAAAAATTGACCTGAAGATAAAATAAAAATGTTTTTTAGGAACCATATCAATTCTTGACCAGAATGAATGAAAGATTGAAAAGTAACCCAGGCACACTTTCATGCTGTTCAGTCTTTTGTCTCCTGATGTCTGAGGCCTTCCTGCCCAATTTGAAAAGCTTATCCCAACCCTGGTCTGTCGCTGATGTTCTCTTATCTTCCTAGACTCAAGATAGGAAAAATGAAAGCAGCAATTACTCCCCCTTCAAGAGTGTACATTTTACTGAATTTTGAGCACTAGTATCTTCTTGTTCTTCATCCTCCACTCTCTCAGACCCAGAATTAACCTACTGTAAAGCATCCTTACTATTTTCCAAGTACACAGCTGACGGGGGGCGGGGAAGCCTGCTTCACTGGAGCATACTAAACCAAAGGCATGCTGCTCCATTTTTATGATAAATGTAAATTTTTTACTAATAGGCAAATTCTTCATTTCAAATGGATAAATCGAGTGGTATCTAGATATAAAATTCTAACCAATCAAGTTGAGAGAACCAAAAATACAGAATTCCATCTGATTAAGTTTAAGAAACTGGAAAGAGTACAATTCAAGAATATTCTCTCTCTGGGTCATAGCATTTTACTTGACTATTAACCTTCTCAATTTTGGTTCTCTTAATAGTAAACAGGTGCTGAGAGCAATGCTGGCCTCAGTAATATTCTCTTCTCTCTCCATGGAAAGATCCATGTGCCTTCAATGATCGCTTGTGTAAGAAATGCTATGTCCCTCCTATTTTACCTCTAGTAAGTGTCTGTTTGATTTATCCGTCCTTTGTCACCCACCCTTTCTCTTCCTCAAAGCAAAAAAGAGAGATCCTGGTGACAGACCACTAAGCCACCTGGCTTTCACATTGTTTTACTTTGTAGCACTACTCACCCTGGGTCTGAGCAGCAATCTGCTTCCTTAAACTCTGTCAACTCTCCCCCATTCTGACCTTTGCTTTTAATTACTCTTGCCCACACTTGCCCCCATTCTCTGCTTCCTTACTGTACAGCATCCAGTCCTCCCCCTACCAGCCGCGGAGAGGCGTCCAGGATGGGCAAGGTCAGAGCCAAATGCCACCATTTACTCTCGGGTCCTTCACTCCTAGAGGCAACATCCTAATTTTGGGCTCCTGGTCTGCAGATAAGGAACTGCACATGCTCGGTGCCAAAAACTGCACATGGAAAGAGTGGCAACATTTGGGGCTACCTACTCATTCATCATGCAGCTGCATTTGTCAAAAGGTCTCAGAGATGCTGCTTTTGCTCTCTGTCCCTGAGCTGCGCTAGGAATGAGGACAGTGAAAGCAAAGCATGGCCAGTCTCTGACCCCAAATGTTGTCATGAAAAGAACACAAAGCCAGGAAAATGAGGAGCTGCGCAATGATAACTAGCACTATCAAGAGGGGGTTAGGCAGACAATCACACTTTTATTTTCCTTACGCTTTTTGACTGTAGATTTAATTTAATCTTGTCATGGCAGGATTAGCAACCAGGCCAGAAAGGTGAAGGGACATAATAATAAGACAGCATATTAATCCTCTATCCCACCCAAGGCAGGAGCAAAACCAAACAAATAGCGGCTTCCTGGAAATTGAATTTCTGTTATCCAGATGTCAAAGATGTAATACCCCAATTACACAAACTATTGCCAGCGGAGCGTGCCAGCGAATATGCAATGTAAATGGGGTGAGCACAGAGCGACAAAACTGCACCGTCAGCATCTGGCTCTGGAAGTGAGTGATAATTAGCACTGTGTGTAGACACTAATAAACATTTATGTCTGAAATTACAACTTTTACCAATGTTAATAAGGGATATATTGGCAATCTGTAAAATAAAAGGTCTTGAAAAGAATGTCATACATTAAGCAATGGCAGACATTTCCCATTCTGGCACAATCCCTTCCCCCCTCCCCTAATTGCAAATGGCCACCTTGCTTTACCGAGGAATTAACTGACATAAGAACCTACCTAAAAAAATGGGTTGTGTCTCTTTGGCCTCCCCATTGACATCATTGTTGAATTCTGACATCTTATATACCTCATGGTGATAATCTGGGATGAGAAAACAACCAAAAATTAGAATTCTAATGACCTACACAATATGAACAAACAATATAGACTAGAATCTCATTCTATATAGTGTGGGTAATCTATACTTTATTTCACAAATACAATTTTCCAGAACTCGGTCAATCACAGAATTTGTAGTTACTAATAATCCTTAAGATTTTGCTTACTCTGAAGTACACAAACTTGAAATATTACTTTAACTTTAGAAAACAGCTTTGCTTGACCACATGGTTTTCAGAGTAATTTGGCCCACAGATGCCAATTACTAGGCTGCTTTTCTTTCAAATGACAAGGATGTTTATAGAGAAAAGAGAACCGTGCCCAATCGTAGGCCAGGGGAGGGTTCCAAATTGATCTCCACAACCCATTTTCATGAGCATATAAATAACAGTATGCTTTAATTACCTGGTACTCTCAGTTTACCCAGAAAAATCCCCACCTTTAAGCAGCTTAGAGGCAATCACACTGGAAAAATACTGACTTATTTCAAATACAGTATAATTGGAATAAGAAAGCAAGATTTCCATCTTTCACACAAGAGAGTCTTCTGCATTCAGCTACTGTGCTTTAATATGCAATAGTTTATTTTCTAAAAAGCACCTGCAGAGATAAGAATCAGACCCATAATTTAGGGGGAAAAAGAAAAAAAAAAGAAAAACTTGCTATGTCAGTCAACTTTAAAATACAGTATTTTACAAGTTTCTCTATAGAGGCTACTGTGCTTTCACAATCTATTTCTAAAAAAGTAGGATCAACTAGGTAAGCAAAGAGAAGTTCCTTCTTAACAGCTATTGCTATGGCCTTGAAGCTCACAGGACAAGGTCTACAGAAGTACTCTCACTTTTAAGATAAAGTAGTAAGTTCCCTGAGGTCATAAATAAGTAGGCAGCCTACATTCCTGAATGAATCAGACAAATAGGCCAATCATACATGGAGAGATTTTTAAAGTACAAATGACTGAGTAATCAACACTGCTAGGAAAAAATGTACATAGAAAGAAGACAGAGCCAAATATTTTGAATTCATAAAACTATTTCAGACCTCTTCCATTAAGAAGTGTCAAACTAAAGCAGGGGAAACAGATACAAGCAGATCTTCAAAATCTGTAAGAAAACCATTTTCAGACCAACTGAAAGCAAGCTTTATTGATTTGATGTGACAGGTTAGCTTGCAATTGCCCTCTAATTTTCACCAGCTTATCTGTGACTTCCCCAGATTGTTAAAACAATTGCCTTGCTCTCTACTCTGATACCAAAGTTAGACAACGCAACCAAGGAAAAATGGACAGGTTCTGCGGTTTGGTTTTGGCCTCAAATTGATTCAAAGATATTTAAACCGAGTGGTTCTAAACTCAGTATTAGAACTTGTGACATTGCCATGAAAATAAGTCACCTGCCTCTCATTTAAAGTGACACAATGCATTTCCATAGACATTTTTTACATCTGTTCTTAACTTAAGTTCTGGCCGTTTTTGTGTTGTTGTTTTCTTTTAAGTGAAATCAGGAAAATAAAGACTCTACCAAGTAACTCAACACACTGTTCAATGATGATAGTATTCAACTTTCCCCTCCCCTGATAAAATCAGCCCAAGCCCAGACACTGCGGTGCACACCTGTTAAATCATCAGGAACTGGCTGGTTTTTTTTTTTAAAAAAAAAAATGATACTTATCTGACTGATAAGTGATCTATTCTAAGATACCTTTGCAACTCCAATAACGTACCTAGAAACGATTTCGGAAATCGACAATTCTTATATGGGCTTGTACGGCTCCTGAGCTTCTTTCTCGTTCTTAAAAGAATCACCTCCACCCTCTTCCTTTCTCTTCGGGGGCAAAAAACAACAACAACCCCAAGCCCATAACCACCGGTGGGGATCGGTGTGCGCTCGGCCTGATGAAAGGCAGTTCTCCCCCAGCCCCCAACCTGGCCACGGGAGCGGAATACCAAAGAGGGCTCCCGGCTCCCCAAGTGTCATTGTTTGCTAATTTCCTTAGTGGCCTCCGACTTGTTTACCTGGAACGACAACCTCCCGCCTCCCCCGGACAA